CCCAGCCCTGCCTGTTAAGGCCAGATGGAAAAGTGAAGCGGGATGGGCAGAAAAAGGCGAGTGAACTTCAAACCGATTCAGCTGCTGTGAAGGTTACTGCGACAAAACCAGCTGTAGAAAATGATCTGATCATAAGTGAAGGTGTCAGGTAATTGTTGAGGCTGTCTGACTGGGGTTGTGTGCTGCTGCTGCTCCAGTCACATGTGCTGGGTTGGAATTCATAACGTCCTGGATTTAAGAGGGTGTGTAGACATTAACTGATAAATATCAAAAACAGAACGTTACTGCAAATCAAGGACAACATTCTGTATCTTCGAAAAAGTATTTGTCAATGCAAAAGATATAAAGTGTGCTCGTAAATTAACTACGCCCTGATACAACAAATTCAAGATGAATTCATGTAAAGAAAGTACAAAACAAAGATAATGTTTTAATTGATTGCCTGTAAGCCCCTATAAAAAAGGTAGTACACTTATGTTGTAAATAAGAAGTGTGTAAAGGTGCATAAAATNGAGATGTTGTTCATTGAGCGCTTCACACAAAAAAAGTGTTACTTCACAGTTTTACGACACATTTTAATTTTCTTGACTTAAAATATTATCTTTTAAATTGACAAACATCATATGTGTAATTCGTGGCACAATTCAAACGGGATTGAAAGATAACTTTTCTCTCTCCATTGACTTCAATACATAATTTTTCCGAAATAAGGTCCCATGGAGAGGGGAAGGACTTTGCCACTCTATTTAGAGATAACAGCTAGCAAAACATTAGCAAATGGATATAGTTTAAGTTTCAGCTGAGCCTAGCCCTGGCTAGCTCACTACAACGTTAGTATTTTTGCCCTGAGGTGTTTAGTTTGCTCTCTTTCTGACAGTGAGTGCAGTTACTGTGTAGGCCTCAGTGTGTCTCTGTTATCTTGTTTAACTGTTTGAAAAGAATTACAAATATCCTTGGGACAATATTTATTTTAGTAACACACATGTCAAAGAGTCAAAATCAGGTGTTGATCAAATAGTTTATGTGTTTTGCCTTTGTACAGCAGAATACAGATGCCATGCTATTTCAGTTAGGGTATGTTAGAGTTATAAGGCATGTGAAGCTGATTGCCATCCCTGATTAGTTTCTTTCTAAGCTCTTTTGAAATCACTCAATCTGGTCTTTTGTAAATGGAGCCTGGAGCTGCAGTGCACTGTGCACCGCGCTACCTCTCCTCCTTTATCTCTCATCTGTTGGAGCTGATGTGTGATCAGGAGTATCCGCCAGAGATAATGAGATCACACTTGAATATGAATCTCAGTCTAATTGTGAGACTGTAGGTAAAGCAAGGAAGCTGGTCACACACAGGCAAAAACCCAACATAATGTATAAATGTGACCTAGAATCTCCAGCATATTTTTTGCATAAAATTGTGAAATATAAAAGGGGCATAGATTAAATAAAAAGCTATTTATATAAGTAATTTACCACAACAATGACATCAAGAGAACACAGAAACAAAAACATGTACCGGGGAAGGCAATTGCAGCACAAACCTGAAAAAACTGAAAATACATAAAAATAACTGTATACAAATAAACTATTAATATTATAATTGTGATGCATTCAGATCCCCAAAAGGAGCTGTATTAATGCTGGAAATGCTCTTGTAAATCCTACCGGCACAAACCCTGAAACAGTGTTCTCACAACCATTAGTCACTTTCATGTTTACACCAGCAGGGTGCCAGCAGAGGAAACGTATCCATTTGATATTAACAACCTGTTGGCTTACACAGTTGTTGGCTGACAAAGTTTATTGATTGCATTTTATGTGTGGCAACTACTTTTCCTTTTAGTCAAATTAGTAGAAGGTAGATTACATCAATTCTGCCGGTGTCGACTGGATAATTCATATCTTAATTGACAGAAAAACAATTTACATTTGCTAATGGATTTTCCAAATGGGTTTCTGTGTGTGTTGGAGTGCCTGTGCCCTGCATAGGCTCTCTGGAAGGACAACAAGGGAGCAGTTCAGCTCCCATTCATGCATTTAAAGGCTGACTGTTGACCTGTCATGAAATGTTACTTCAGCTAATGAACTGGTTAATTCCACGTAAACGCTTTATGGCAT